AACCCGGCCCTTGTTGCTGCCAACTTAGATGGGCAGAAGGGTTACATATAAAATAAATCAATTGCAATATAAATATTGTACTTACATTTCGGTGTATAGTATATAGAGCAGTATAAACAAGACATTGTATGAAATTTTAATTTGTACTGACTTCACTAGTGCTTTTTACGTAGCCTGTTGTAAAACTAGACAAATGTCTAGATGAGTTGATATACCCCCTGGAAGACCCGAGTACCCCCAGGGGTACACGTATCCCTGGTTGAGAACCACTGCTCTAAGCCACCTTTGTGCTCCCTTGCCTGGTCCCTGTACAGCAGCTTTGGGGTGGCAATAATTCACATTCTGGTCCCCCTGTGGCTGCTACGGACAGAGAATAGCCACTATGCAATGCATTCTGGCCATACCCCTGTGTTCCCCCCCAGTCAGGGGCTGGGCACAGGGCAGGGCACACCCCTCATGCCAGGCTGGCTTTGCCAAGGCTCCTGCACTGAGCTGTCTGAGGAGTGAAAGGCCAGCTCAGCCCCTGTTTACGAAAGACAGCCAGGTGGGAGGGTGGCAGATGGTCTGGTTTGTGTTCCTGAGAACGGCTGAGATACGGTGTCCTGGCTGGCATGCCAACATGCCTAGAGATTCTGGAAATGGGATTCAAAATCACCAAAATGTGCCTGATTGGTTTGTGCCAATGGGATGGGGCAGCCACCCACAGCCGGCTGGTGTGTACCTTTGGGGCGGGGGGGGGGGGGCATCACTGGAGTGCAGGGACAGGGGGCAGCAGACTGGAAGGAGCAAGTTTCACCATCACGGCTGTTACCCCCACTGTCTTGCGGGATCCATCATGATGCTGCTGGGCCTTTGAGATCCTGAAAGGGGACCTGACCAGACTGGGAGGGAGGGAGGGCAGAGCCTAGCCAAGGGGCACTGCACTAGGCCCCTCCCTGCAGCCTGGACTCAGGCATTGAACGCAGGGAGATGGTCAGGGCTTAGCTCACACCCCTCTCATCAACACTTCCCTGTGGCTGCTGTAGGCAGGGAGCCGCTCCGGGTGCTGGCTTCGGGGATCCCATTCCCAGCTGCCATCTCTCCCCACACATCGCACAGAGGGTGCAAGTGCCGAACTAGCCTTGGGGAATCGCAGTGTGTGCACCTGTGATTTTCTAGGCACCTAAAAGGCCAGCATTGGAACCCTCAGCATCACAGCGCCTAAGTCCCTCCGTGGATCCCGGCATCTGTGACTCACTAGCCCCAGCAGCAGGGGCTCTGTTGGTTGCAGGCGGGGGCGTATTCCTCCCTGCTTGCAGTCGGAGGGCTCGTCTACACTACACAGCCTTGGATGCTATAGCTACGCCAGCAACACACAGCAGTAGAGATGCAGTGTGAGCTGACAGAGGGCATTCCTCTGCCGCCATAGCTACACCCCCGCCCCTTACAGCATTAAGGACGCTGACAGGGGTGTGCAGGCATAGCTGAGTCTATGGCGGGGAGTGCGGGGATTGTAGTGCAGAGCAGGCCTGAGCAATGCTCCGCTATTGCATGCTCTATGGTTTGCTGTGCTGGGCCGAGCAGACACTAGGTGAGGTCCTTGCTTTTCGGGCACCTCCCCTGGCTTCCTGCACAGCTGCCAACAGCAGAATTAAACAATAACAAGGCTGTTTAAAGACCCCACCCGCAGCATTTCCTGGAGTGTTTCACACGGAAATGTGCTTCCTCCGCACAACACTGGGACAATCTGGGCTGGACACTGCACCTTCGGGTGCCTGGTGAAACCCCTCTCCCTTGCCGAGTTCGTCCTTGGCTGTGCTGGGGGCCGAGCCGTGTCGCTGGTGCTCGTTTCCTCGCTGTACTAAGCGTGATTTTTGGCAGTGGCTTCTGATGATGCCCAGACTCCGGCTGCAGGGAGAGCAGAGGCTCCCCATCAGAGCTGCGGCATCACCAGCATTGTACTAAGTGTCTCAAGGGGCCGGTTCTCCCAAGGACCTGGGAGGCGGGCGGTGGGATGGAACGGAACCTGGGGAATGGCCGTGCTCCAGACGCAGCAGCTAGCTCATCCCTGGGGCTCCCGGACAGGTCCCTGGGCATGGCCAGCCAAGTTTGCTGGTGGGGGAGCAGAACTGGCGAGAGAGAGACCCGAGTCTCCAGAAGGGCTCAGCACCCACAGGTATGGCTTTATCCACAGGGCTCCTTCCGTGCTGAGCCCTTCTAGAGATCCTGGCCCTCACAGCCAGAGGTGGATGAAGTTTCCCTGGAGCCCTAGGCCAGAGCAAGTGGGGGCCCCTCCCAACCCCTTCTGCCTGCAGCCCTTCCCAAGTTCGGCCCCTTCCGCCTGCGGTCCTATCCATAACCCACCCTTTTCTGCCCCTTCCTCAGGCCCGCCCCTGTTCCACCCAGGGTTCCTCCCTAAATTCCCTCTAAGCTGCATGGCCGTGTGGCCGCACAGCAGCCTATTAAATGTTGCAAAGGCACTCAGGGCTGTGATGGGGAGAGATGCCTCTTCCCCATCCCTGGACCTGCCACAGCAGGAAGATGTGCCCCTCCCACAGCCACAACCCAGCCCCAGCCTGGACCTGCCGCAGCAGGGAGAGGTGCCTCTCCCACCCCAGCCCAGGTGCTGCTGAGGGAGAGAGAGCTGGAGGGATCCTTTCTCCCTGCTGCAGCACCTGGGCAGCCTACACCCTAAACTCCTCATCCTCAACCCCACCCCAGAGCCCACACCCCCAGCTGGAGCCCTCACCCCCCGCACCCCAACCCTTTGCCCCAGCCATGAGCCTCCTCCCACACTCCAAACCCCTCGGCCCCAGCCCCGCCACATGAATTTTGTTATGTGCACCAATATGGAGGTGATGTGTGCACGTAACAATATTCATTCCGCACATGTGTGGGAACAATTAGAGGGAACACTGGCCCCCATTCTGCCCTCCCACTGCAGCCTTGCAACCCCTTTTGCGCCTTTCTGCCCCACCCCCCGCACTGTGGCCCCAAGACTGGAGAAGCTCTGTCCCTGTACCATGGCCTGGGACGCAGCAGGGAGTGAGAGCTCCTCCAGTCCCAGGGCTGCAGTGGGGGTCTGGGTGCTGGGGCTTCCGTTGCTACCCCCTGCACTTCTGCAGGGGACCAGGGTTGGGGCGGTGGAACTTCTCCCGCTTCGCCTGCTTGGTATTTTTGCCGGAGAGTGAGTCGGGCGTGGGGGCTTGCCCTGCCACCCTGCGGCTTCTGCTGGGGATGGGTGGAGAGCCAAAAGTGGGGGCTTCCCCTGCCCTGGTCTGCTACTGCAGAGCGGGGTCGGGGTGTGGGGCTTCCCCTGCCCTGCCTGCCAGGTGGTCAGGGCTCCAGGCTTCCACTGCTTGGTGGCGGATTTTTTCCGGGGGCCCCATCAGCCCAAAGATTAATCCACCACTGCTCCCAGCTAGGGGTCTCCTTTTCCTCTGCCTCCTCCACACTTGGAGGAGCCTTCATGCTCAGGGACAGGCCGGCGCTCCTGAATCCACCCTTTGAGCAAGGCTCATTTATTGTTATTTAATACTTACCTGGCAGTAGCACTAGCGGCTGTGTGCCTGTGGTGCCAGGTGCTGGACATGTGCACACTCACACCTGCACGCGGCCAAGACCCTACACAGACCTTACACAAACAAAGCAAAGCACCTTGGGCCTGATTTTTAGGGACCTGCAGATGCAGAACGGTGCCCAGTTGTGCCAAGGTGCTTTTGAAAAATCTCGCAAGGCACCTATCTGCATCTCTGGCCACCAAAATACCTTTGAAAATCCGGCCCTTAGCCCCGCTCACCCTGCCCTATGGCTGCAGACAGCTGTCCTGACCCTGGCAGCGAACCCCCACTAGGGGAGCTGAAGGTGGAGGCATGTGTAGACGAGAGTGGGGCAGAGGTGTCTGGGCCCTACCTGGCCCCACTGCTCTTCGGCTTGTCATTGCCACCTGCTTGTGCTATGCCTGGCTCGTCCCTGCTTCTGCAGCATCCGGATCCTCCTCTGCTTCTCCCAGACTCACCCCAGCCAGGGAGCAAGTGACGGCTTCCTAAATTAGCACCAGACACCCAGGGCGGCTTCTTGGTGACACTCAGTGCCTCTGGCAGCATAAAGGGGCCTGAGAGAGGGGGAGCCAGCCCCTGGACTGGGGCCGGCTGTGTCGATACAGGGCCAAGGAGGGTTACAGTGGTAACCAATCCTTGGTCGCTCACTGTTACAACAATAACCCGTTCAGTGTGGTCTGGGATGTCCTGCCGAGTCCCCTGAGAAGAATCACCATTGAAACCCCTTTCAACCTTTTATTGAGCACACAGACAGAGACTGCTCTGCACCCATCTTCTCCCGGCACTCCCTGCCGGCTCCGAATGGGAACAGCAGACACCTCCACTACAGCCACAGCAACTCCTGTTTATGTTTGTCTGTCTATGGCCATCTCCCTCTGACTGTATCCATACACTCCATCTTATCTCTCTCTCCCCACACACCTCTTCTATGTATCTATCCCCATCCACCTTCTCATTCTCGCCCCCTGCCCACACACCCACCCCCTCAGCTGGTTTAGTGGGCAGGCTGTGGTGCATAGGCTGAGAATGGGGTGGGGAACTCGGTCCCTGTGTGTGTCTCCACCTCTGTGCTCCGGAAGGGGCTGACCACCTGGACTTTGTCTCTCCTGGAAATCATTGGCCTCAGGGGCTGGGCAGGGCCTAGCTCCCTGATCCCTCCCCGTGGCAGACCTTCGTACCCACATCTCCAAGAGCTGTGCCAGGCCAGGGTTTGGGGTGCTGCAGAGAGAGCTTCTGTTCTGGCCTCTCTTCTCTGGCAGAGGTCGATCCCCGGAGCTCCCACGGACCTCACACTCTGACTGCTGCCTCCCATACCCCCAGGCAGAGCCATCTGGGCAGGTGGGTTCATGGCTTGTGGGGGGAGGGAAGCTATAACCAGGGGCCTGGCAGGGCTGGAGCAAGCACTCCCCAATGCAGTGAGCCATTAATCCCTGTGAAGGGGAAAGCTCTTCTCTGGGGAGGGGCAGGGCAGGGGATGCCTGGGGGAGGGGTGCCCAGCAGGAAGGGGACCGGGCAGAGGGTAACCAGGGGGAGGGGTACCCAGCAGGAAGGGGACCAGGCAGAGGGTAACCAGGGGGAGGGGGCCCAACAGGGAGATGTGCCTGGGGCACCACTGCAGTGGTGAGGCATGCTCAGGGATGGGTAGGAGATGCCCATGGGGATTTGTAGCAAAGCAACAACTCACTGGCGCAGTGCCTCCTGCTGGTCATCTGGGAATTAGCTCTTTCCCAGCTCTGGAGCACCTCCTTCTGGCTGGTGTCTCATCTGCCTTAGGCCCATATCCCTCACAGACCCTGGTGCCCTTTACCTCAGGGTTCTGCCCCAGCAGTACCCCCACACTCTGGGTCTTCTCTCCCAGGGGAACACTCAACCCTCTAAAACCCACCTTGCCTCAGTGGCCACTGCCAGTCATCATCTAGTCCCCTTTCACTGGGGCAGACTGCAGTCTGTAATGGCCACTCATCATTGGCAAGGGGGTTGGATCTGCTGCCTCTGTCTATCCCCGGGCTGCCCCTCTCAGCCCCAGTACCTTTGTGGGCCTTCAACAAGGCCTGCAGCCTGGGGTTTTATCAGGCTGAAGCTCCCCTTGCCTTTCCCCAGCACTGCTCTGCTTCAGGTACAGACACTCCCCGCGTTACGCAAATCCAGACTTACGGAAAAAGTTCCATACGCTTTTTTTTTTTGGCATAATTCTCAGGTATACATTCCCCACTTACACAAAATTTGACTTACAGAATACTTGCATAAGACAGGGAGCAGCTATACCTTGCTCCCAGGCAGCTAACCCTCCCCACTCCAGGGCTAGAGTCAGACTCCTCAAGCTCCTGGCTCACAGCCCCTTTATAGGGCCAGCTGTGGCCTGATTGGGCTGGCCACACCTGTGATCAGCTACTCCCTCTGCTGCTTTCACTCCTTTTCCCAGCCACAGCCTTCTCCAGGGCTGCCTTTAACCCCTGCCTACAGGGATGGGGAGCTGCCCCACTACAGGGCTGCATACCAGCACTGCCCAGGCAGTGAAGGGGGAGAACATAAGAACATAAGAACGGCCATACTGGGGCAAACCAAAGGTCTAACTAGCCCAGTATCATGTCTACCAACAGTGGCCAATGGCAGGTGCCCCAGAGGGAATGAACCTAACAGGTAATAATCAAGTGATCTCTCTCCTGCCATCCATCTCCATCCTCTGACAAACAGAGTCTAGGGACACCATTCCTTACCCATCCTGGCTAATAGCCATTAATGGACTTAACCTCCATGAATTTATCCAGTTCTCTTTTAAACACTGTTATAGTCCTAGCCTTCACAATCTCCTCAGGCAAGGAGTTCCACAGGTTAACTGTGCGTTGTGTGAAGAAGAACTTCCTTTTATTTGTTTTAAACCTGCTGCCTATTAATTTCATTTGGTGACCCCTAGTTCTTGTATTATGGGAATGGGCCAGGAGGGAGCAATGGGCCTGCAGTTAGGTAGATGCAGGCCCAATGCCCCTTGGCGGGGTGCACAGTGCTGGGCAGGAGGAGGGCGGGAAGTAGATCTGCAGTCAGGTAGACACAGGCCCAATGCCCCTTGGCAGGGTGCACAGCGCTGGGAGGGAGGAGGGGGAGAGGTAAATCTGCAGTCAGGTCCTAGATGCAGGGCCAATGCCCCTCGGCGGGGTGCACAGCGCTGGGCGGGAGGTAGATCTGCAGTCAGGTAGATGCAGGCCCAATGCCCCTTGGTGGGGAGCACAGTGCTGGGTGGGAGGAGGGGGGAAGTAGTTCTGCAGTCAGGTAGACGCAGGCCCAATGCCCCTCGGCGGGGTGCACAGCGCTGGGGGGGAGGAGGGCAGGAGGTAGATCTGCAGTCAGGTAGATGCAGGCCCTTGCGCGTGGTGACAGGCTCCTGCATCTCCCTGCAGGGCTGGTCATCTCAGGCACTGTGAGGCCAGGCAATGGCAGTGGAGTACGTCACATACCAGGGCATCAAGTTCCCCCCTGCGTATAACTCTGAGCAGAGCCTGCACTTTGCCCACAAGGAGTTCCAGGTGCAGGACGATGATGTCTTCAACGTCACCTACCCCAAATCAGGTAGGGTGCTGCGGGCATGGACAGGGGATCATCCCGGGTCGGGGTGGTGGGAGAGGGCCTTGGAAAGGAGGGGGGGGCAACTTGTTATCCTGGAACCCCATTATGTGGGGTATGGGGAGGGCTGGGTGTGGCCGGTGGAGCTATCAGGGAAGGGATGGGGAGGGCTGATTGTGTCTATTGGGGGTTGGGGATGGCTGGGGGCACTGAGATGGCTATAGGGAGAATGGTGGGGAGGGCTATAGGAGAAGGCTGAAATGGCTCTAGGGAAGGACGGCAGGGAGGGCTGGGATAGCTATAGGAGATGGGATGATGAGGCTTGGATGCCTATAGGGGAGGATGGCTATAGGGGAGGGCTATAGGAGAAGACTGAGATGGCTATAGGGGCGGTGGTGGTGCTCAGCCCTGTGGGCCCCACTGGCCCAGGGAGACACGCTGTGCCCAGAGACAGCTCCACACCCTGCAAGGCACCTGTGACAGAGCCCCCTGTCCCCCAGGCACAGTGTGGATGATCGAGATCTTGAGCCTGATTCGCAGCGGCGGGGACCCAGCCTGGAACCGAACCGTCCTCAACTCCAACCGCGTGCCCTGGTTCACTACCCGTCTGGGGCTGGAGTCTGCACTGAGCTACCCCCGACCCCGCCTGCTGACCTGCCACCTCCCCGTCCAGCTCTTCCCCACATCCTTCTTTGGCTCCAGGGCCAAGGTGGGCCAGGCAGGCTGCACATGGGGGTTACAGTACAGAGCCGGGGGAAGGGTCAGGTTCTGGTGCAGAGCTGGGGGGGGGTCAGGGTTATGATACAGAGCCGGGGGGGGCAGGGGCTAAGGTGCAGATCCATAGTGTGAGGGGTCCCCCACAGGGTGCCACCTGGAACTGGAGTACAGCCGAGCCCTCTGTTTTACCAATCTGGGTTCCCTCTCACATGGTGATGTTGTGGCAACATCTGCAAAGCCCTACAAGCTTGCACTCACAGCAACATCCACAGCCAGTGGCCACACCCAGCTGTGTTCATGAATGCTCTACCAGCCAACAATAGAGAGGCTTCAGCCAAAATATGCCCCAGCCTAGGACCCCAGAGCTCTACCGTCCTGCCCTGGTCAAAAACGTGAACAGTATATTAGTTCTTACCCAGTCTGCCCCCTCCCTCAATGTGGAGAGGAATATGCACAAAGCCGTTGTTAACTGAGCTGAGATTTTTCCCCAAGCACTTCACTTAAACCACACTGTTGTAGGTAAAACATATAAAATCGATTTATTAACCACAGAAAGATAGATTTTAAGTGATTATAAGTGATAGCAAACACATCAAAGATAGTTACCATAAGAAATAAAACAAAAATGCAATCTAAGCCTAATATACTAAATAAGATTTGAATCATGCAGTGTCTCACCCTGTTACATAGTACAAGCAATTTGCTGATGTTTCATACAGAGACAGGGCTTTCTTCTTTCCTGCCTGGCACCAGCACTTGCCCCCCAATTCAGTCTTTTCCTCTGGTATTCTCAGGTGTTGTGTTGCAGGGAGAGTGAGGTCCAGTCATGATGTCATTTCCCCCTTTTATATCTTCTTCCAACTTGCTGGAAAGCTCTTTTGCCGTGACCTGAGTCAAACAGTTCCCATTGTGTGGTGCTATCTCTGAGAGGTTTCTATTCTACACGGTTCCTGGGGTAATCCTTGTGAGTGTGTGTATTGCCTCAATAGGCCATCAACGTTGTTTGACCTTTTTATTGTTGTACCTCAAAGGCTGCTTGTGGGTGTCCCCAACCTCACAACATGTTTCAGAAGCACGTACATAGCCAAACTTCATAACTTCACATACAATCATAGCACATACAATTTAACAGGATAGTAATGTTCAACAGATTAAGGCTTTTAGAATGACACCTCGCAAGGCATGCTTTGTACAAAACCTATCCTAATCCTATCACCATGGTGAATATGGGTGCAGAGTGTCTCTTTGGGGCACAGAGTGTCACACATAGGGAGTAGGTTTGGGGCATGTGCAGCAAAGGACAGCCTTAAGCTTGTGCCTGAATTCCAAGTGCTTTAACCCTGCCCCCGTGGAGCCACGGGTGTTTACCTGGCTCTGGGGCCAATGGCTGGATGCCCGTGGACAGTCAGGCCGGGAGGGTGATGCTGGCAGCTCTGCTCTGCAGAGTGCTTCAGGGGCTCCCTGACCCATAGGAGAGGTAATAGCAGAACAGCATTTCTTGTGCCAGTCCCTGCCTTTCGCCCCCCAGCCTACTTCTTGGTCCCCTCCAGGTGGTCTACACACTCCGCAATCCCAAGGACGTCCTGGTCTCCTATTTCTATTTCTCCAAGATGTGCAGCTCATACAAGGACCCTGAGTCCTTCAAGCAGTTCCTGCAGGACTTTCTGAGCGGGGACGGTGAGTGCAGCTTCAGGGCCTGGGACATCTCAGGACATGGGAGGTGCAATACCAGATCCAAGCCTGGTCAGCCCCAGACACAGTCTGCCCTACATTGCTGCCAGGGCAGAGAGCGGATCCCAATGACTTCACAATCCCATCACTCTGCAGCCTTGGGCAGTGGTGTGTGTGTGCTGGGGGTGGGGGTATTCACCAGAGCTCTTCGGTCCCAGCTCCTGTGCCTAGCCATTCCCTGGGGGGGGTCTCTCCTTGTGTTCCAGGGCGTGGGGCTCATGGTATTGGGGCTCTTTAGTCTCATCCCATTAGGGTGACGTGAGCAGCGAGTCCCTCACCAATGTCAAACTAACTGCACAGCTACATAGTGGGGAATAACTGGCTAGGGGGTGGCACTGCTGCAAAGGGTTTGGGGGTTAGAGTGCCACACAAATTCAATGTGAATCAGCAATGGGACAGCTGCACAAAAGGCTGCTATTGTTCTGGGGGATGTTAACAGGAGTGTTGGTCTGCCAGGACATTGTCCCACTCTAGGCACTGGTGAGGCCTCAGCTGGGGGACTGTGTCTTCAGGAAAGACGGGGAGAAACTGGGGAGAGGCCAGAGAAGAGCAACAAAACTTCTAAGAGGTTTGGCAACCCCGTCCTATGAGGAGAGATTGGAAGAATAGGGTGTGTTTAGTCCAGAGAGGAGGGAGCCGAGGGGGACCGGAGAACAGTCTGCAAATACGGGAAAGGTTGCTGTAAAGAGGATGGGGATCAATTGTTCTCCGTGTTCACCCAGGGGAGGACAAGAAGGAATCTGCTCAATGTGCAGCAAGGGAGATGTAGGTTAGATAGTAGGACAAACTTTTCAAGGGTGTGGGGAAAGTGAATAAGGAAAAGCTATTTACTTGTTCCCATAATGTAAGAACTAGGGGCCACCAAATGAAATCAATGGGCAGCAGGTTTAAAACAAATAAAAGGAAGTTCTTCTTCATGCAGCTCACAGTCAACCTGTGGAACACCTTGCCTCAGGATGTTGTGAAGGCTAGGACTATAATAGGGTTTAAAAGAGAACTAGATAAATTCATGGAGGTTAAGTCCATTCATGGCTATTAGCCAGGATGTGTAAGGAATGGTGTCCTTAGCCTCTGTTTGTCAGAGGGTGGAGATGGATGGCAGGAGAGAGATCACTTGATCATTACCTGTTAGGTTCATTCCCTCTGGGGCACCGGACATTGGCCACTGTCAGAAGACATGATACTGGGCTGGACGGACCTTTGGTCTGACCCAGTATGGTTGTTCTTATGTTCTTAAGGGTAGCTCAGCTCTGGAACAGGTGACCTAGGGAGGCTGTGGGATCCCGTCACTGGAGGTTTCCAAGAATAGGTTGAACAACCCCCTGCCAGGGCTGATCTGAAGTTACTTGGCCCTGCCCTGGCACAGAGGGATGGATGTGACGACCTCTTGAGGGCCCTTCCAGCCCAATGTTTCTAGGCGTCTCCATTGGGGTGTCCCCTCGCAGCCTGGCAGGAGTGTTCCCTGCCCACATGAGAGTCCCCTCTGCACTGACTCTCTGGCTGACACTCACAGCCCCACCCCGCTCTGCTGTCTGCCCCGGCAGTGCCCCACGGGTCCTGGTTTGATCATGTCAGAGGCTGGATGGAAATGAAGGGCAAAGAGAATTTCTTCTTCATCACTTACGAAGAGCTGCAGCAGGTAAAGTAACCCAGCCACATCCCCGCCGTTGTAGACTGGCTGTGGATCCACTGGAGTCAATCAGCCAGCTCCCTGGCTGGGGTAAATCAGTAGTAACTGAACTGGAGTCAATTAGGCTGATTCCCCTAATTCATCATGATGTAAATCAGGAGTCACCCCAGTAGGCTGCGCCATGTGAACCAGTGGGAATGAGGGGGTGAATCGGCTCCATGCCTGTCCCTCTGCCCCATTGACATCCATGTTTCACAGCATTTCAGTGCAGACACAACACGGGGTTTGGAAATTGTCCTCATCCCCCGGCCCTGTCTGCCAGGCCCTGCCCCGGTTACTCTCACCGTTCCCTAGGGTTGTCAATCCTCCAGCACTGGCTGGGAGTCTCCCAGAATCAGAATTGGTCTCCCAGTGACTATTGAAAGGAAGCCTGGAAATTTTAATGGGATATTTGGAGAAAATGACATTACATAATGTTGGGGGGGGAAAATCTCCCAGAATAGCTTCAGTCAGGGGGGCTCTGCTGGACCAAGCCCTAGTTACTGTAACCGTCCTCTCTGCCCAGACAGTGGGGGGGGAGGGCTCTGCTGGACTGGGCCCCGGTTACCGTCCCCGTCCCCGTCTGCTAGGGCGGGGGGGGGGCTCTGCTGGGCCAGTGGCGCTGGAACATTTTTAATAGTAGGGGTGCTGAAAGCCAGCCCCCTTGCCCCTGTACAACCCCCCCCCCAGGAGCAAAGACCCAGGCATGCGGCATGGCATACGGGACCCTGGGTGCCTGGGACTGGCAGCCGGTACCCCAGGTGTGCGGGGCTGGCAACTGAGACCCCGGCCGCGTGGCGGTAGCAGAGCCCTGGGTGTACAGGGCAGCAGCCGGAGTCCCGGGCACGTGGGGCAAGCAGCCAGGATCCCGGGCACAGGGCCGGCAACCGAGACCCCAGGCTACTGCAGCACCCCCCGCACCCTTAGTCCCCGCGCCTATGTGCCGGGCCCTGCCTCGTTATGGTCACTGTCTGCCCGGGCAGCGTGAGGGGCTCTTCCCAGCCTTGCCCCAGTTACTGTCATGATCTCTGTCTCCCTGGTCAGTGGAGGGAGGGGGTGAGGCTCTTCTGGGCCCCGTCCTGGTAACTGTCACCATCCCTGTCTGTTAGGGTAGTGTGGGGGGGCTCTGCCTGGCCCTGCCTCATTACTGTCACTGTCCATGTCTGCCGGGGGCTGCATGGGGGGCTCTGCCAGGCCCTGTCCCACTTACTGTCACGGTCTCTGTCTGCCCGGGCAGTGGGGGCGGGGGCTCTGCCGGGCCCTGCCCCAGTTACTGTCACAGTCCCCATCTGCTAGGGGCAACGTTCGGGGCTCTGCCAGACTGTGCCATGGTTACTGTCACCGCTAGGATTGCCAACTGTCTAATCACACAAACCCAAACACCCTTGCCCCTTCCCTTCCCCAAGGCCCCACCCCTGCCCCAACCCTTCTCTGAGGCCCCACCCCGCTCACGCCATCCCCCTCCCTCCGTCGCTTGCTCCCCCCCACCCTCACTCACTTTCACCGGGCTGGGGCAGGGGGTTGGGGTGTGGGAGGGGGTGAGGGCTCTGGGCTTGGGCTGAGGGGTTCAGAGTGTGAGAGGGGGCTCCAGGCTGTGCCTGGGGCACAGTGTTGGGGTGCAGGAGGGGATGCAGGGTGCAAGCTCTGGGAGAGAATTTGGGTGCTGGAGGTGGCTCAGGGCTGGGGGAGGGGGTTGGGGTGCAGGCTCTGAGATGGGGCAAGGGATTGGGGTGTGTGGGGGGTGAGGGGTATGGGCTCTGGGAGAGAGTTGGGTGCAGGAGGGGGCTCCAGATTGAGGCAGAGGGTTGGGGTGCAGGAGGGGGTGCAGGGTTCGGCCAGGCGGCACTTACCTTGGGTAGCTCCCAGTTGCGGGGCAGTGGGGCAAAGCAGGCTCCTTGCCTGCCCTGGCCTGCACCGCTCCCAGAAGCAGCCAGCATGTCCCTGTGGCCCCTTGGAGGGGCAGGGGGCTCTGCACTTTGCAGGCACCACCTCCATAGCTCCCATTGGCACAGCTCCCGGCCAATGGGAGCTACGGAGTTGGTGCTCAGGGCACAGGCAGCACGCGAAGACACCCCCCCCCCCCGGGGGGCGCAGGGACATGTCACCACTTCCGGGAGTGGCACGGGGCCAGGGCAGGCAGGGAGACTGCCTTACCCCACTGCGCCGCTGCACTTTTAGTGGCCTAAAATCTTCAGTTTGGCTTTTGTAGCCTCCGGGAGATAGAGCCTGATTCCGGGAGACTCCCGGCAAAATCGGGAGGATTGACAACCCTAGTCACCGCCTGCCCAGGGCAGCATGGGGGCTCTGCCAAGCCGTGCCATGGTTACTGAGGCTGTTGTTTTCCCCCAGGACCTGAGGGGCAGCGTGCGGCAACTCTGCCAATTCCTGGAGCAGGAGCTGGATGATGGAGCTATCAACTCGGTGGTGGAGAATGCATCCTTCAGGGCCATGAAAGAGAACAAGATGTGCAACTCGACGCTGCTCCCCAGGGACATTATGGATCAGGAGAAGGGCACGTTCCTGAGGAAGGGTGAGGAGATGACTGCCCTGGGGCATTGTCCCCCAAGCTGCTGGGTGTGGTGAGTCTGGGCCCCCCAGTAGTGACAGTGAGGGGAGCCCAACGAGGTTGACCCCATCTGTGGGAAGCCAGGCTCCGGTAAGCCCACTGCAGCCCTCAAGTGGGATAAGACAGAGAGCAGAGCCAGGAGTGCTTGCTGGGAGCTGGGTGGGCTCAGCCCCTCCTTCTGGGAGCAAGCTCCCCTTGATTAGGGTTACCATATTTCCACAATCAAAAAAGAGGATACTGGGGAGGGGGGAGCCCCAACCTAGCTCCGCCCCCGCCCCACCCCCATCCACTCTCTCCCTCTTCCCACACCCTGACTGCCCCCTCAGAACCCCCAACCCCCCCCTGCTTCTTGTCCTCTGACTGCCCCCTCCTGAGAACCCCCCACCCTAACTGCCCCCCTAGGATCCTACCTGTCCCCTGACTGCCCCGACCCTTATCCACTCGCATGGATGGCAGGTTTGTAGAAATTTTGGTGGTGCCCAGAACCCGCCCCCCCCACCTGCCTAAGGCTCTGGGAGGGGGGTTGGGTGGGGGGAGGAGGTCTGGGGTACAGGTCCTGGGCTGGGGATTAGGGTGCAGGAGGGGTGCAGGCTCTGGGATAGAGTTTGCGTGCTGGGTGCAGGCTCCGGGCTTGGGCAGGGGGTGGGTGTGCAAGAGGGGGTGAGGGGTGCAGGGTCTGGGATGGAGTTTGGGGGTGGGAGATGGTGCAAAGGGAGGGGGTGCAGGCTTTGGGGGGGAGTTTGAGGGCAGGAGGGTGTGTGTGGGAAGGGGGAGGGGGTTTGGGAGGGAGTTTGGGGATTGGAGGGGATGCAGGGGTGAGGGCTGTGGGTCTGAGGATGAGGGGTTCATGATGCAGGAGGGGGCTCAGGGCTGGGGCAGAGGATTAGGGTGCGGGGGGCTGAGGGGTTCATGATGCAGAAGGGGGCTCAGGGCTGGGGCAGAGGATTAGGATGCAGGGGGATGAGGGCTCTGGCTGGGGATGAGGGGTTTGGGGCGTTGGAGAGGCTCAGGGCTAGGGTGGAAGGGCAGAATAAGGGCAGCCTGCCTTGCCATTAGTGGTTGGGGGGCACTAGGACCCTGGGGCAGCAGACAGCAGTTGCTGCCGGGACGGGAGAGGCGGGGGGGACCCGCGGGGGGGGAACGCACGGAGGGGGGGCAGGTGTAGGCCGGGGACCCATCCAACCCTCCCCCTGCTCCCTGACTGTCACCCGGGACTACCTTTACCATGCCCATGCCGGTCAGATGCTGGCTCCACGTGTAGGCAAAACACGCTGCCCGGTGGGGCTGTTTGTGTTGTTACACCAGGCTGCAGGCAGCAGGGGGGGAGCAGGGGAGGGGCTCTGGCTGCTGGAGGCAAATGGGAGCGGCGCAATGGGGCCCAGCCGCCCAATCAGCCGCGCCGCACTCTGCATGGCAGGGAGGGAGGGAGTGGAAGGGGAAAAATCCCGGACCTTTTAACCTTGTTACCAATTCCTCCCGGATGGCTATTTAAAGACGCAAAAGCCAGACATGTCCGGGGAAATACGGACGGATGGTAACCCTACCCTTGATGCACAGGGTGGGGGGAGAGACATGCTGACCCAAACCCCTCAATGGCCACAGTGCAAATCCTGAGTTGATGCCTCTCCCGATTTCACAGGCATTTGTGGGGACTGGAAGAACCATTTCACGGTGGCACAGAGCGAGGCCTTCGACAGGATCTACCAGGACCGGATGGGGGGGCTGACGGAGGCGTTCCCATGGGATTCACACTAGGAATGAACAGCAGGAGTAAAGCAGAGCATGGAACCGCAGGGAGCTGGGCTGAGTTAGTAGGGACAACTGTCTGCCGTGGTTCACACAGACCATGGGAGGGCGTGGCTCCAGCCTAGCGGGATGGACCATGCCAGGAGCATTGCCTGGCATGAGTGTCGTCTGCCAGCACTGCCTCCCACACCCCTTCATCCCACTAGGCACCCAAGTCAGCTTGGCCCTAGCCTCCTGGGCCCCATTGCATATCCGAATGCCCCTGTGAACGTGTTCAGCTGTAGCCGCCAGCCACTGCAGCTTGCTCTGTCTGTGTCTTCTGGATTAAAGATCCCTCAGCCCTGTGATATCCCCCTGAACTTTCTCAGCAACCGGTACATGCTCAGTCACGTTCTGGGGGTGAGGGGTTGTGTCACTGCCTGCCCTGTAACTCTGGGTGCCTTAAATGCTCTGCTGCTGAGGCTCACAGTCTGGACACCCATAGCCAGCAGATAAAATCATAGAATCATAGAAGGTATCAAGCGGAGTGCCTCAAGGGTTGGTCCTGGGGCCGGTTTTGTTCAACATCTTTATCAATGATCTGGATGATGGGATTAATTGCACCCTCAGCAAGCTTGCAGATGACACTAAGATGGGAGGGAGAGGTAGATACCCTGGAGGGTAGGGATAGGGTCAACAGTGACCTAGACAAATTGGAGGATTGTGCCAAAAGAAATCTCATGAGGTTCAACAAGGACAAGTGCAGAGTCCTGCACTTAGGATGGAAGAATCCCAGGCACTGCTACAGGCTGGGGACCGAATGGCTAAGCGGCTGTTCTGCAGAAAAGGACCTGGAGATTATAGTGGACAAGAAGCTGGATATAAATGAGCAGTGTGCCCTCGTTCCCAAGAAGGCCAATGGCATATTGGGCTGCATTAGTAGGGGCATTGCCAGCAGATTGAGGGAAGTGATTATTCCCCTCTATTTGGCACTGGTGAGGCCACACCTGGAGTATTGCGTTCAGTTTTGGTCTCCCCTCTACAGAAGTGATGTGGACAAATTGGAGAGAATCCAGTGGAGGGCAGCGAAAATGATTAGGGGACTGGGGCACATGACTTACGAGGAGAGGCTGAGGGAACTGGGGTTATTTAGTCTCCAGAAGAAAGAGTGAGGGGGGATTTGATAACAGCCTTCAACTACCTGAAGGGGGGTTCCAAAGAGGATGGAGCTAGGCTGTTCTCAGTGATGGCAGATGACAGAACAAGAAACAATGGTCTCAAGTTGCAGTGGGGGAGGTCTAGGTTGGATATTAGGAAACACTATTTCACTAGGAGGGTAGTGAAGCACTGGAATGGGTTACCTAGGGAGGTGGTGGAATCTCCATCCTTAGAGGTTTTTAAGGTCAGGCTTGACAAAGCCTTGGCTGGGATGATTTAGTTGGTGTTGGTCCTGCTTTGAGCAGGGGATTGGACTAGATGACCTCCTGAGGTCCCTTCCAACCCTGATATTCTATGATTCTATGATTCTAACAGTCTGAAACCGAGTAATATGCATGTCACCTTCCACATCGTGTCTCTATATTTTTGCTTGGAAAGAGATTCTTTGGTCTCAAGTTGCAGTGGGGGAGGTCTAGGTTGGATATTAGGAAACACTATTTCACTAGGAGGGTAGTGAAGCACTGGAATGCGTTACCTAGGGAGGTGGTGGAATCTCCTTCCTTGGAGTTTTTTAAGGCCCGGCTTGACAAAGCCCTGGCTGGGATGATTTAGTTGGGAATTGGTCCTGCTTTGAGAAGGGGGTTGGACTAGATGACCTCCTGAGGTCCCTTCCAACCCTGATATTCTACGATTCTATGATTCTAACAGTCTGAAACCGAGTAATATGCATGTCACCTTCCACATCGTGTCTCTATATTTTTGCTTGGAAAGAGATTCTTTGGTCCCCAGTATTCCACCAAAGGATCCATTAAAAGTTCGCAGAGGGGTTTATTATCAGGCAGTTTTTGTGAAATTGTGTTGGCGAGTGGATGTACTTAATTATCAGGTGATGAAATATCAAAAGCCCTTTAGCTTTTCACAATTTTCCCATCAAAGCAATGTCTGCTTAACCAGTTCCTCCAATATTAACCTCTCTCTCCTGCAAGCTGACTACTCACATTGGTATAATTTGGAGAAAGAGCAGAAATGGGACAAATACAGGTCTTGTTTTTTTCCATTGATGAGTTACTGTACAGTAAGCAGAGAAGAGGCAGCCAGATCCCGTTGTGAATCTCTTCCTCTAGCATGCCAGGGGACTGAGCTTTGACGGCTGTGATGCCGTTTCCAGTTGTGATATCAAAAGGGAGTAAGTTACAAAACTAAAGGCAAACTGAACTCAACTGCTGTTTCTTTGGGTTAAAGTGGAAAGCATTAGTGACACCTAACGGTGAAAGAAAAGACTACATATTTTCATGTAAAGAGCAGTGTGTGTGGTATGGGGGAATTAAGGGAGCCTCAATTTCCCTGTTTCTTGTTCTTCCTGCTCAGCTAATGCCTACTCCCTTTGATGGAGGCACAAACCAAAACTCCCCCCATCTTGGTGAACTTGAGATCCAAACCGCTCTACTCCATCCCATTCTTCTCAAGTGTATCTTATACCCGGGGCATGACTCATTTTAGTCCCACAGCTACCGATGTTCCACACAAACATGGTGTCGTCTCACTTTGATCACGGAATGTTATTTACCTCAGAAATAAAGAATTGTGGAACTGAAATCAATTATTGACTCTGAGGATGAGCCTGCCCAGCAGCTAGGAGAGTGATTCCCAGCCCAGATAGACAGATGCACTAACAATAACAGCATGGCTGCGGTGGCATAGGTGGCTGCTCGAGCGACAGAGGGAGAGGGGATGGAGTGAGCGGGGGCGGGGCCTCTGAGAAGGGGTGGGGCAAAGGCATGACCTCAGGGAAGGGGCGGAGCAAGGGTGTTTGGGTTTTGCGATTAGACAGTTGGCAATCCTACCCTCCACTAGCTCCCCCTTCTCTGTCGTATCTAGGGTGACCAGATGTCCCAATTTTATAGGGACAGTCCTGATTTTGGGGTCTTTTTCTTATATAGGCTCATATTACCCCCCACCCCCTGTCCCGATTTTTCACATTTGCTGTCTGGTCACCCTAGTTGTATCAAACATAAACTACTTGTCTTCACTTTCAAGGCCCTTCACAGCCTGTCCCCACCCAACCTAGCATCTCTCATTCAGTATCGAAAGGTTAACTCCAGACTCAGACTGGCCCACCGATGCCAGACACCGTCACCTCTAGTTAAATTCTCAAACCAGCCCCTTTGTGCTTTCTCCCCTGCTGCCCCGCACACCTGGGAGAGCTCCCTGTAAACAGCCACAAAACCACTTCATTATCCTCCCTCAAAACCCTCCATTTAATACGCCTGTCACATGAGGCCTACGAAAGCTTGACAATGGTTAGCCTGCTGCTGCACTGAGACCACTGCCTGTCCTTCTGGCCAATATTGTCTCATTGTTTCCTGGTACCCTCCCAGTTGGTCTCTCTGGATCCATCTGTTGTCCCTTGTCTCACACTTACATGGTCAGGTTTTCAGGTCAGGGACTGTCCTTTTGTTCTGGGTTTGCTCAGCGCCTGGCACATAATTTGTAGCCCAGTGATTCAGGTACTCACCTGGGACGTGGGAAAACTGAGTTCAAACCCTCTTTGTCTGATAAGAAAGGAATCCTCCACCTCTCAGGGACGTGTCCTAACTAGAGTTGTCAACTTTCTAATTGCAGAAAACTGAACACCCTTGCCCCACCCCCTGCTCTGCCCCGTCCCAAGGCCCCGCCGCAGCTCACTCCATCCCCCCTCCCTCTGTCGCTCGCTCTCCCCACCCCTCGCTCACTTACTCATTTTGAGGGCAAGCCCGAGCAGGCACCAGGAGAAGGCCAGGAACTGCAACAGTTTGCATGTGGGAGATGGAATGTGTGATTCAAATACCCTTCACCTCACCAGGGGGAGATTTTAAACACTATGGTAAAATGAATTGCCCCCCAAAAGAGTCCCACTTACTTGCAATGAGCGAAACTAAAGAGACTATTGCAGGAGTGTGATTTTTCTGCCTTCACCCAAGTGCCTGGGTAGGGGATCCAGTAGTGCTGCCGTCGCTGACTGGCTCCTTCCCTGCCTGACAAGGACCTGGATAGCAGGGGGAAAACGTTACCCTAGTCCATCTTTAATGACTAGTTAAATTGTTTAAATGTATGCTTTAATAGACAATATATGCAAAGTGGACAAATTAATGTTATGGGAGTCTTAATGTTAACATTTCCTGACACTTATGTTTAAATATATAACCTTAATATTGCATGAATGTTATTTTATGAATTCATTATAGCTCTTTAATGTTAAGATGAGGTTGCATAAAATATAATTCATGATGCAGAAACTGACCCCTCCCTATTGTACCATCCTCCTAACCAATAGATTTTCTAGTGTTCTTCGTTTCAAGTTTTTTCACCTGTATTGTGTCCCAGATTTGTCCCAAAGCAGGTTGAGAGGAAATACGTTACAATGTCACACACAGCCTGACCCCCTGTCCTTCATTGGGTGCCCAATGTTCCACATTACACGTCAAATCAATAAATATTGTCTTGTATACACCACTAATCATGCAAAGGATTGTACACTGTAATACAGTGTGTCATTTGTATACGAGTGTGTGTCACAAATAAAACATTGGGGAGGTGCCCTTAAAAATAAACTTTCTCCTATAATTTCCAAGTTGTCCTTTATTTGAAACATAAAGGGTCTGTATACGGGCGTGAGGGCGATTACCATAGCCAGGGACTAGCTCTTCTGTTTCAGGAACATCAGTCCAAGTGAAGCTCTGCAATCCCTGTGGCCAGGCCCCTTTTGTGCTGCCTGTGGTGTTGGCACCATCAGACCATATGACCCTCTTACTTTTTGCAGACTCCGGCGGGCATCCACCAGTGCGAAGTGCCAGGCTTTGCGCACAGCGATGTCTGGCTGCTGGTGTCCTCCTGATGTGCCCCA